TTGAGTGTATATCAAGACACATATAAAAATTACACGAGTCACATAACCAAAATAACTTACATTAATCAATTAAAATGAATAATAATATAATGTAAAAAATTTAATAAGATAATTTAAAAATAACTTACTATAAACCTTGAATTAATACAATTTTATTTAAGTTACCTATATTATCTGAATTAAATACATAACTAATTTACACACTTATGACCAATTATGTTGATAATATTCATTCATGAAATAAAAGAAATGATACAAAGACCACTTCAATGCAGATTTAAAACTTCTCACATCAGTAGCCAACATTTATTATGACAGGTATGCGCAAATGACTACTGCGAATCGTTATGCTCAGTTAAGCACTGTTTGGCCGTCGGCAATAGCTTACGATTGAATGTCTCTGATAGTGCATGAAATCATTATATATTTATATGGGACATTTTATTTATACTACTGAAATTAATAAGAAATTGAAACCCCAGTATTACTGCTTCCTATACATTATTTATAACACATTAATGTAACTGAAAAGCTATGTTCTGTATAACTTTCAAGCGTAAGTTGTAAGCAAAGTTATGAAGTTGAATACAAATATCTCTGATGGAAACAGAATTTTCTTTCAAATTTAACCACCATCAACTTTCCTAAACAAAAGTATTCTATGTATGTTATAGTTAAAATGTCCATTTCATTTCAGAAAGGGGGCTTTGAATTGATGTAAATGGAATGTTCATACTTTACAGGCACTGGTGAGAAACTTTCTCCAGACAAATAATGTTGTAACCTGATCTCTTGTACTGCAGAGGTTCTTACTCCATTGTGTGCTTTCTGTTTTTGAACTAAGTTTGATATCACTTAGCTCATGCCCCTCCAGAATGTTTTGAGTGAAGTCATATGAAACTCAAATAAAAATGTTTGTGACGATGGTGTATTGCTACAAGTATTATGTGTTTTGACAATATCCATCGTCTGCTCAATTTTTTAAGAAACCATCCTGTTTCTTTTTCAAAGCACAACATTTCAGAGACTGGATTCTGAAAAAGAAACAAGACTTTTTTAAAATGTAGATAATACAATGGATAATGTCCAAAAACATAATACTTTCAACATTTGAAAACAAAAAACACTCAATGGGGTAAGAACCTCTGCAGTACAAGAGGCCAGGGTTGCAAATTATTTGTAGCTATTCAAGTGAATTAGTGGTTCTTTGGGAGGGAGCAGTGCACAGAGGCTGGTGGTATGATAGCATATTTTCTTACCGACAGGGTGTGTTAGCATACCCTCTTACCGACCTAGCTCTCGGCGCTGGCGGCAGCCATTTTGTATCAATAGAGTATTCTCCGGACCGCTCCGGACACGACGGGAATAGTGATGCTTTGATGACGTCACTGCCGCTACGTTGCCCGTCAATAGCGCTGTGGGCGGTGAGTTACTATTCTGTTCTGTGGCACCGACAGCTCTTACACGCGCATTATATCCCTGAAACCTCAGCGCCCTCAACTTCTCGTCTGCTGAAAATTTCAAAGTTCAAACGCGGAAAAACAACCGCACGTCTTTGCATTTCATCCATTTCGTAGTCAAGCCTGGTGAGTTCTCTGTTACATAAGTATTCGTGCAATTTGTAATTAATTTTAGTTTGATTAATGATGTAGAGCTAAAAAATGGAGTGTCATGTTCTGTGGACATTACATGTTGGTACGTGTAGTGTGGAAAGTATGGTGTTTAAATTTTTCGGCATGATGTATGTTTTGTAATGTAATGTTTTAATGCAGAAACTAATTTATTCTTCTCAATCAACCTGATGTGTGTTTAAGCCATAAAATGCTCGTATGAAATTTTCATAACCTCAGCTTATCTATTTGTCCACATATAAAATGAAATTGAGTTTACAAACTGCGACACATAGGCCATGACATACTCTGTAAAATTATTTCCGTGGTTAATGAGGGCTGTGTTCTGTAGTGCTACGTATGTAGGAATCGAAGAGAACGCGGGAAATAATGACAGTGGTATGAAACCGATTTTGAAGAACAGAAGACTAATTCAAGAAACCTTTATTAGAACTTCATTCTCTCTCTCCACTTTAGTTGTATATTTCATATTAAACTATTACTAAAGAAATATACTCGGTTGTAGTACTGTAATTTATATAAATACAAGTGTTAATAGTAGTGATAACAGATCAGAACCTGATTCAGGAGGAAATTAAGAGGCGATTGAACTCGGGTAATGCTTGTTACCATTCAGGCCAGAACCTCTTGTCTTCTAGTCTGCTGTCCAAAAACATAAAAATTAGAATATACAAAACTATAATTTTGCCTGTGGTCTTCTATGGGTGTGAAGCTTGGTCTCTGACATTAAGGGAGGAACATAGACTAAGGGTGTTTGAGAACAGGGTGTTGAGAAGAATATTTGGACCAAAGAGAGATGAAGTGACAGGAGGTTGGAGAAAACTGCATAATGAGGAGCTTCATAACTTGTACTCTTCTCCAGGTATAATTAGAATGATCAAGTCAAGGAGGATGAGGTGGGCAGGTCATGTAGCATGAATGGGGGAGACAAGGAATGCATATAGGATATTGGTAGGAAAGCCAGAAGGAAAGAGACCACATGGAAGACCAAGGTGTAGGTAGGTGGACAATATTAGAATGGATCTTAGAGAGATAGGATGGGATTATATGGATTGGATAGATCTGGCTCATGATAGGGACCAGTGGAGGGCTCTTGTGAATACGGTAATGAACCTTCGGGTTCCATAAAATGCTCGGAAAGTCTTGAGTAGCTGCAGAATTGGCATCTCCTCCAGAAGGGCTCAGCTCCATGAGTAAGTAAGTTAGTAGTATTACAAAGGTACTGTGAACAATCTAATCTGAGGTAATAAATGCCTGAGTTCAAATTGGCAGGATCTTGTACTTGTATGAAGGTGGAATTTTGCTGTATTTTTTGCTGGGCATTTAGTAGCTTCGATGTTTAGTAATATAATTAATTAGAATGATGTATATTTAATCAGGTAATATAAGTAACAAATTAGAAACAATTTTACAGACACCATCATAATGAAAGTATGAAAGCAGTAAAATTTACGTCTGAAAGTAACGTGTTATGTTGTATATACTATGTAGAACATGCTTAGGGGTGAAGATGGCTAATACTAAATATTGGAGACTTATTCAATTTATAGTGAAATACAGTAAGTTGGATTTGTAAAGAAAGAAAGAAAGAAAGAAATATGAGACCACTTCATGCTATAGGCCTACTTCTATTTAACTGACAACAAAATGCTTTAATTATAAATTTTTATCACTAAGTCTGAAGGGTTAAAATGCACAGTAATTAGGGTCTGTGCTTTGGAGTTTGTACAAAGTATTAAATAAAAATTGAAAATGACAGATGCAGAGAAAACTCTGAATTTAGAATGTAATTTTTGAAAGGGGGATAGAGTTAAAAATTGACACTTTTTAATACAAAGATTTACATATCAAATGCAGAATTTGCACAAGTTTTCCCTTGTCACGAATAACATTCTTAAATATGGCAATACAGTATTTTTTGTGTCTTCCAAAATATTTAGTGAAACAAACCTTGAACCTTTTCACATGGAAGCTATTTCCCTGTCTTTAACTATGACCTTGGTACCTTCAGTATTTACTATGAACACGAAACTATACCATATTACCACGTCAGTGTTATCCCTCTAATAAAACGAAAGTGTTGTTATAATTTTGATTGGCATTTAAAGTGTCCAGGGCTTTGAATCCATGTACCACTTTAAATGTTTAAGAGACCACCAGAAGCAGACCAAGAATATAGTGTTATGTAGCAGGTAGCTGTAACTCGTGGGCTGTTTTGACATTTAAACTGATCATAATGCATCACTTTGCCACACATCCCTTTCTTTCTTCACATTTATGTTTCTCAACCACATTCCAGAATTGAGGCATTGGAGATCATATTTCCCCATGCTTTCTTCCCTGTTAAGTTTCACATTGAACATACTTACTTACTTACTTACTTACTTACTTACTTACTTACTCATGGAGCTGAGCCCTTCTGGAGGAGACGCCAATTCTGCAGCTACTCAAGAATTTCCCAGCATTTTATGGAACCCGAAGGTTCATTACCATGTTCACAAGAGCCCTCCACTGGTCCCTATCCTGAGCCAGATCTATCCAATCCATACAATCCCATCCTATCCCTCTAAGATCCATTCTATTGTCCACCCACCTACGCCTTGGTCTTCCCTGTGGTCTCTTTCCTTCTGGCTTTCCCACCAATATCCTATACACATTTCTCATTTCCCCCATTCGTGCTACATGACCTGCCCACCTCATCCTCCTTGACTTGATCATTCTAATTATACTTGGAGAAGAATACAAGTTATGAAGCTCCTCATTATGCAGTTTTCTCCAACCTCCTGTCACTTCATCCCTCTTTGGTCCAAATATTCTCAACACCCTGTACTCAAATACCCTCGGTCTATCACATTGAACAGCAGTAGTAGTAATTCTAACATATTTTATTAGGATAAAGTCTGTTTCCAAATGAATATATAACTTTTTGTTTCAGGCAAAAATGACTGGAAGTGATTCAGATGTTTTGGAAATTAATGTTGATCCAGAAGAGGAAAAGAAGAATTACGAAGGTAGGCTTTCATTAGAATTCATATTTTTTTTCTCCAGGCAAAGTATATCAGAATTGAATTCTGGAATTTTTATGGTATAATAAGAATTAGATGTTAGCTATTTTTCACTTGGATTAAGTTATTCCATACTTCTCTTCACCACCATGTTCAGATCAGCTGTGGGGTTCACGCCGCCCTATATTGAACGAGTATCCCCCAACTATAAATTTGGCAATGCTTGAAACTGAGCACTCATCTCTATCTTGTACTGACATTAAGAATCTATGGGGTGACACCTGCACCCCTCCATTGCCACATAGGCATATGGGTGCAACATTTTCTTTCACAGTGATGTTCTCCAATCAATAAATATGACTTAGTTCTTTGATAAGTACTGAATCTGCATTCATCAAATGTAAAGATTTTACAAAACTTTTGAAACCATTCTTCATAGAGGAAATAAATACTGCATATAGTTGCAAGACATTTTGCTGTTCATTACTGAAACTTTCATTTTGTTATGTTGCAGAAGAACATTTTGTATGGCATGATTATTTGGAATCCACACATGCGGATGAAGTGCCACAGACATCATTTCTTCATGTGAGTGTCACTAGGCTATTTACATTTCATTGCTTGACATTGTGTTACTGACTTTACTTCACAGTATCAATATATTAATTGCCATACGTTCCTCTGATATGTCCATATACACAGTATCTACACAGCGCCACATCCCAGAAGACGGCATTCTTCAAATTAAACTAAGCATGGTAATAGTATTCCCCCCACACACTGAAGTTAAAGATATTTTCCCTATGGTTGATTATGAAGGCTTTAGCACTATATAATTAATGCTTGGTACTAACTCATGAAGAGGTGACTCAAGTAACTTTAAAATTTACCAACATATTGTCCATCATGTTAGGGCTACCAACGTTAGAAGTATATTTGTAAAAACTAAACTCTGAGGCTAATGTTAGAATCTTCCTCCAACAAGTCCACAAGCTTTGGCTTTTTGTTTTGTATTTAAAAGATTGTTTGATTCCATTTTTTAAAGATTAGTGTTTTTAAAAATTGATATCTGAGTACATACTTCTAAGGCTGGTAGTCCTAACACGACAGACATGACTTGGGTCACCCACTAATGTGCAAGTGCCCATATGCAGTAGAGAATGTGTAATTATTATTATTATTATTAAAATACATTTCTTTGATCCAACAGTCACCCCGTAGGGCTGGATATAAAAAATTGTCATATATCATGTCAGAGACGAACAGTCACATGCAGTAGAATACAGATACACATTAAATGTAACATGTAAAATCTAAAGTACAAAGTAATAATAAATCAAGCCTCTTGGAAAAAATACAAGTTGTCAGTAAAAAAACATATAAAAATATAAAATAATGAATAAGGCCT